CGCGCTGTCTTTCGGGCGAGTGCACGCACCCTATAACAAAAATCTCTCCAAAAATAATAATAATAATAAAGTCCCATGACTGGCATGGCCCAGAGTGGCCGTTCCACGAGCCTGAGGGCGCCTGTACATCTCAGCACCCTGAGGGCGCCTGTACATCTCAGCACCTTGTGCTCTGGTGAGCACAAGCTATCAGAGCCACTCTGCACATTCAGCATTTTGGGCCCAGGGAGGCCCCACCAGCCTGCAGCCACCACCTCTGACCAGACCTCTGGATGGGTGTGCCCTTGGGCCCACAGGCTCCTGGACTCACTTGAGAATCTTCCCGGCCACTGGCTGCTCCTGGCCCCAGTAGCACAAGTCCACTCCAAAGGGGATGATGGGTGCCCGGGCCCGTTCTGCTGCCAGCTTCTGGGCCTCCGCTGGTTCCAGCGGTGCCTTGGAGGAGCTATAAGAACAGAAAAGAATGTGCTGACCTTGCACTCCTGGGGCTGTCCACTGCCACCTGTCTCTTTGTCCCCATACCCTATGCAACCCAGACCTGCCCCTTTTGGGCCTGGGCTTGCCAAGGTCCTGCCAAAAGCCCCAGTCCCATATCTTGGATAAGAGGTGACCTGGCATCTGCCTCTCAAACCTCAACATGGCTGCCCAGCCGCAGGGGCTTCTCTCAGAGGGGTTGCAGCCCCTGTGAGGACGTCGGTCAGCCCAGCCCTGGCCAATATATGCTGGTGTTTGCCCACATGTTGACAGGCACCTGCCCAGCCAGATGTGTACATGCCAGGCTGCCACCAAGGAAGCCAGAGAAGGCCAGCTAATATTCTTGGCAGAGGTGGTGGTGACACTGGGCAGCAGGCTCAGCAACATGGGACATCCTAGAGCCACCTGGCAGATGGTGGTGGGTGCACGTGTTTGCGGAGCCATTCCAGTTGGGCGGCCGCAGAGGTGGGATCCAATGCCTCCTCATCCCTTTTCATCCTTTTCTTCGCCTGCAAGCTCTGTGAAGCTGTGTCTTTCTCTACGGTCTGCTGTTGGGTCTCTGGCTCCAGCCCTGAAACAGAGACATGTGTCCGCTCCAAATCTTTATTACCATGACCCCCAGCAAATCCCCCTGGGGAGCACTGTGCTGCCACCACAGTGGCTAAAGGTTCAGCATACACCCACACATCTAATCCTCCAACAGTGAGGTAGGTCTTCTTAAGTCCGCGGGCTGACAAGTAGGCTAAGGCAGGAGTGAGGCTGCCAGGCCAGGTTTAGGCAGAATGTGGAAACGGGTAGAGACCAGGTAGCCCCAGCACACTGCTGACATGCCGTTGGACATGGAAGCACCAGCTTGACTGGATGGCTCCATCAGACTGCTCCTGGAGAGCAAGGCCTGGTTTCAGGAACCCTGCCCAGGACCCTCCACACCTCATGCTGACAGCACTGCCATCTTGTGCTCACTGAGGTACCAGGGACTGATGACATGAGAATCGGGCAGCCTGCAGCTCTCTTGAAATGCCAAAGCTCACAGCAGAGTACGAGGCCTTTCATGTCCAAAACCAGGACATGCTATATAAATGGCAGTCACTTGGAGACAGGTCACCCTTGGTGTGGGCACAAGCATCCCCAGGAACACATGGGTCATCCTCTTTCTTGAATCTGGGGCAAGGAAGACGTAGATGGTCACTTCTAAACACAATTCCAAACCAGGTCTCCTGCACTGAGGTAAAACTGCAATTTCAAATGGTGTATTTTTTCACCCCAGTCTCTATGCCTTTCTCAACAGAAATGGCTGGTGATGCTCCACAGCTTTAGATGACTTCTCTGAAAGCCAAGGGAAAAGACCAGGGGCCAGGTCCTGGGTTTGGAAATACCCTCCCTCTTGCTTCTGGGCAGAGAGCAAGCTCCCAACTAGCAAGACACTGCAGTGGAATGTCTCCCTGCCACCAGTCCATGACACTGCAATCTCACCAATATCCTGTAGGAGATAGCAGAGATGAGGTCATCAGGTTGCTATGACTCAGGGGTCACCTCCTCATCTCCAGGGGGAACAAGGACAGATTTTCTAACATTACTGAAGCCTGGCCCACTCCCCACTGCTCTGTTTCCCCACCTGTAATAAGGAAAACACTTGGTTCTGGCTCTCAGGCCACCAGAGTGCAGGACCCACCCTGATACTGCCAGCACCTCTCAGTCAGTGCTGAGCCTGAAATCTCTAATTGCTTTGGGAAGACAGCAGGCCATGGAGGACACCAGAGGCACCATTTGCCTCCCCAAACTTAATGCAGCAGCAACCAGGGCCTGCACTTAAACCCTTCCTCTCCGATATGCCCATTGGCTGGTGGTGGCTCACAACCCCAGAGGAATGTGAACTGGTAGGGAAGCTGAGACTTTCAAGAGCAATGCCACCAAAAAAACAAAACAATAAAAATAACCAAAAGCCAAACAAAAAACTAAACAACATGTCCCATACAAGGCAGAATCCATAGATGAGATGGGGTAAGAAGAAAAATTAGCACATTCTACATTCTCCAAGAACTATAGGAACTCTTTGAAAACACAAAGCAATAACAAGAAGTCAGAAAGAGGAAGTGGATATTGACAGTATTTTCTAGTGAAGACAAAGGGCATGAAAAAAAACTTTGTGAAATAATTACTTGCTGGATAGCTGAAGGGCAGAGGGACCAGCTGCAGCCATGTGTGGGCAGCAGTGCAATCTCAGACAACACTCAGGACAAAGCATAGAAGTACACTCCCACTGTTCAGAGGCATTAAGGGTAGATGTACAAGGATCAATGTCTTCATTTCTAGAATCCCAGGAGAAAAAAAACGACTGGCATGTAGAAAATATTTGAAAAAATAATGAGCCAAATTTTTCTATAATTAGAGGGTTTCTTAGTTATCATAGGAGATAGAAGAAAATCCATGGTTGGACATACTACAAGGAAAATTAAGAATATGAAACATAAAAACCTGAAAAGTTTCCAAAGAGAAAAAGCTGATACCTTCAAAGCAATAAAAATCTCACTGACACCAGCTTTTTAAACAACAATAGTTTATACAAGATCTTGAAAGGTCATTTTGAAAGTGTTGAAGGAAAAGACATTCTACCTCAGAATTTCATATCCAGCTAAACTATCAATTCAGTGTACATGTAGACAACAAAGACCTTATAAGGTTTACCATGTGAAGATCTACTTTGAAAATACCCTCAGAGCAAGTAATCCTTCAAGATGAATGGGGCAAGATATGGGAAGTTAAAATGTGAAAGTGACTTTGTAAAATGTATTCCTGCCCCTCCAACCTTAAAAACTGTCATACAAAACAAAAACAAAAACAAACAAACAAAAATAACCTGTCATACAATCAGAATTAAATTGGTGTGTGAAGGAGCCAAAGCAATGAGGGTAAGAGGAGACCAGAAGTGGGGAGAAGGTGTTTAAGTTACTTCATATACAGGAAAACTACACAGAAATCAAGAAAACATAAAAATAAATAGTGATCAGGCAATATAGGAGTGAATCTTTAAAAAATTAGTAAAAACCATCAGAAGAATGAAAAGATAATGAATATGTTTAAAGCCAACAGAAGAATAATTGGTCAAGCAAATAAAAGGTGGGAAAAAGAAACCAACGATAACAGCAGCAAATCAAAGAGAAAATATGGTAAACAGAAGCATGCAATAAGCTTACTGAGAGTATAATAGTAGCAATTAAATGGCTTAAAATTAATGAAAAGACAATCTAATTATATTTAGCAATATGTTGTCTATATAAGGTCTATTTACAACAAATGATTAACAAAAGGTTGAAAATAAAGAAATGAAAAAGATACATTATGCAAATGAGAACCTATGGGCAGTGAGATAATATGTTAACATCAGAAAAACTGGATTTTAAGTTAAACGAGGAGCATAAAAAGGGGAATATGTGAAGGTGGAACAAACATGAACAGATACACACTGTATAAATGCAGCTTCAAAACATGAAGCAGGGCCAGCCAGTGGCACAGTGGTTAAAATGATTCAATCCCACATGGCTGATCACATGGTTTGAGTGCCAAACTTAGCAGCATGTAAAAATGTCAGGTACATGTGCAAGCATGCCCAAAATCCCAAATGGAGGAAAAAGGATTGCAATGTAGTCGTTTCTGATGGGGTAGAGGGGGGTGCTTTCTCATTCTTTCTCTCTTCAGCAAGCATGCATACTGTGTAGCAATTAAAAAATAATAAAATAAAGCAAAGAATTGCTGAGAGATTAAAGGAAAAACTGGTATACCCATAACTACAGTGGAAGCTTCGGCAGACCCTCCCAGAAAATGATCATTAGATAGGTAACTGTGGAAAGTTTGTACATGATCAAAAAGATAAATTGGCCAGTGCAGTGGTGCAGGAGGGAGGGGACCACTAAATATGGGAGGCCTGAGGTTTGGATCTGTGATCCTAAGTTGGCTGGAAGGCTGAAGGAGAGGATCACAGTAGGTGAGATCCTTTTGAGGATACCTACATACCTCCCTTCCTCCCTCCCTGTCCCCAAGAAATAAACTGGGGGATTAAAAAATAAATAAATAAAATAAAATAATTTTTTAAAAAAAGAACAAACTAAGAGATACCAAGGGACTTCATATCCAAGAGTTCCTTCTCCAACAAACACAAAAAATCTGACAAAAGACAACCAAATATTAGTTATGAAGGAATCTTAGTCACTTCTGAAGAATCAACATTCAGACCGAATCCTCGGATCACAGAGCACTCAGAAGTCCAGAGTGAAGAGCTGTCGGATGTCTTGAAATTCATCCATGTGTGATATGTTACATACATGCATACATGTCCATAAACATACCTATCCATATACATACACGCCCCTACACAGACATACTCTTACTAAATATACAAATACTGAATATATGTACTTATTGTATACATTAACTTACCAAACACATATCTATTTCTATCTTTATTGATCAATCTATATAAATTTATGAAAAATACTTTGTTTAAACAAAAATTAGGGGCAGGGGTCAGCAGGTGGCATGGTGGCTAGGGCACTGGACACTTCCAAATGGCCGACCATGGTTTAAGTCCTAGGCCTGGTGGCTTGCTTTCTCACTTTCTCTTTTGCTTTCTCTCTGTCTCTCTCTTTGGTCAAATTAAAATAAATGAATAAGTGCATTTTTTAAAAGAGGTTAGGGGGCAGCAGGTGGAGTAGAGGTTGGGGTGCTGGATCTCACATGGCCAATCTGAAAGGTTTGAGTCCCAAACCCAGATGCTTGAGAATCAAGTTAGGCACACATGCGAGCATGCCCAAAGTCCTGAGAGGAGACTGAAGAAGGGACTATGGCATAGCCATCACCCCAGGGAGTAGTTTCTCACTTTCCCTCTATCTCTCTCTGTCAAGCACACATGCCCTATAGCAAAAACTTAAAAAGAGTGAGAGAGAGAGAAGTCAGGAGCTGGCTCCATGGTCTGGTCAGAAGGCCGACTGCATGGTGCAAGTCCCAGATATGGTGGCAGAAGAAACACACCAGGCATGCTTGTGTGTGCATGCCTCAAATCATGATAGGTTGAAGAAATGGAGAAGGGATTATGGCAAGATCATGCTCCACTAGGAGTTGCTATCTCAGTCTCCCTCTCTCTATCTCTGTCTCTCGATGGTGAATGCACATGCCCTCTGGCAAAAATAGATAGATGGACAGAGAGAAAGAAGTCAGAAGGAAAATGACAAAGCACTGAGAATTTGGTATCAACAAAAGTACTTCAAGGCACCTGGAAGTAGGGGATGCAGGAGATTTCTGGGAAAGAAAGAAGGGATAAGGGATGGAAGGGAAAAGAACTAACAAGACTAAGGAAGGGCCTTACCTAGTCCAGCGATGATAGTGCCCCATAAAGTGAAGAGGTAATCACTTCAACTGTCTCTTAGACCCACAATGGAGTGAAAAAGCTGCTCTTCTGAAAGGGGTCACAGAACTCAGGCAGCCCAGGGCCGTCTCTGACTGGGGCTGCTGGCTCTCTGTAGCAGAAGTCTGCAGACACTACACAGAAATAACAGCATCTATTCTTCAGTACTTGGGGTAGAGCGGGGTCAGCACACTGTGGCTGTAAACCAAATGCCTGTTTCTGTACATAAAGACGCTGAGGGCGAGCAGCAGGTAGCGTAGTGGAAGAGGTGCTAGATTTCCACATGGCAAACTGCCATCTGAGTCCCGGACCTGGTGACTTGTTTTCTCACTTTCCCTCTCTCTGTCTCCCTCTGGTGAGTGTACATGCCCTATAGCAAATAAAAATTAATAATCATGATAAATAGAATTAAATACTTTTTTTAAAACTTTATTTATTCATTTAAATTTGGCAAAGAGGGACATAGCGAGAGTGAGAAAAAGAGAGAGAATTAAATAATTCTTCAAAAAAAAAAGACTCTGCACATAGCCATAATTACTTGTTTATAGACTGTCTGTGGTTGCTTTCACATGATACTGACAGAATTAAAGAACTGCGAAAGAGACCTCATCTAGCCCCCAAAGCTGAAATATTTACTCTTGTGACCCTTTACAGAATGCATCTGCCAACCCCTACTCTAGAAGTGTGAGGTCTACATCTATTTCTCAGATTCCCGTGTGCTGAGAGTAGAGGACAGAGACAGGGCCACTCAGGGCAGTAAGGTCAGACCTTCTGCCACCTCAAAGCCGCCATGAGCACTGAGGCCCTAAAGCTCAGCTGCAGTGTATACGCAAAGATGCTGGGCAACCCCGGGTTCAGCTCAAAAACACTTCCGGATGCCTCCCTTCATATTTTGGCATCACATCGTCACTAACTGACACAGACACCAATGGGGCTACCACACATACACGGGCACACGCATGCATGCACATATAGCGAGGGAAAGCAAGACTGATAAGTGAACAATGTGACATTTCGATAGATACAATCACAGCCAAAAGATCAATACGAGAATTCCTAAGAGTTACAAGAATGAAATATATTTTTCATTGATTTGTTGTTTTAAACCATTAAAAAGATGGGTAAGCGTGTTAAAGCAGGGTAAATACTCAGGGCACTAAAAAAAAAAACACTCCCATTTTCACATTGTTGTAGAAAATCAATCTCACTGACATACTTTCAAAGTAAAAACCCAAAAAGCAGACAGCATTCCTCAGGCACCAAGAGCATGCATTTGGAAGAAGAATAATGACTCTTGGAAAAGCAGGAGGCCACATGTCACGGTTAAACCACTAACCAGCTGCATCGCCCAGGCCCGGTGCGGTGTCTAACTTGAGTACAGTATCTTGGCTCAAATTTACTCCTACAGTTGCTTTTAGAAAGAATCATAAAAATGTCCAAATCCTCTTTTTTGTTTAAATTGACCAAGTGGCACCTATTTGCCTGAAGCACTAAAGCAGACAGTGTGGGAGAGAAATCGATAGTAGGAAATGGAGAGGCTGGGGGTTCAGGGCAAAGTTAGGCTGCCGAGCCTGACATTATTGATTTTACCTAGTTCAGCTGGCCTTGTAATTAAAATGTAAATTTGAGAAAGAGATTATGTCCTGACAGAAATGGTAGGATTAAGGGGAAGATAAAAGCCCCTCAGTGAAAATTCAGAGAAAGAAATGAGAAAGAAAAAGAGCCCCGGTTTCCTCAGCTGTGTGGATTTAGACTAAATCTAACTACTTCAGATTCACCTCCGTTTAATTGAAAAAACAGCGACAGAATATAAACTAGTATTATGAACTGCGCTGCCCCCACCCCCGCCCTCGCCCCACACATGCTTTCTGTTCCTGTCCTGACGCCTTCAGAGCTCCAGGGGCACCAGTTTGTTTTTCAGGGGGTCCTGAGAGGATGAGATGAGGTGAGGACAAGGCTCCAGTAGCCCCGCCCGGCCCAGACCCCAGAAGGGTGGGCCCCCTGGGACCAGCTTCGGGTGGGCGATTTATCACCATGACCTGACCCTGGAACCTAAGCCCTCCAGGGCCACCTCATCCCCTGCCAGTAGTCTGCACCTAGCAGCCTCCGCTTCAGATCCTATGGCTCTGGGTGCACGGCTGTGGCAGGGCTG